GTCTAACGACAATTGGAGTAGCAGATATTGTTTGCCACTCTCTCTTAAATGTTATAAGTCCATTTAGTAAAATTCGTACTGACATATTATCCCAAACTACACCATAACCCCTCTCCGCTTTTACCTCTAGATCCTTTAATATACGAAAATGTCATCTAGTAGGCATATTAGATTTTGGAGGAGAGTGTAAGATACAGAAAGATGTTCCAATTCCAGACTCTTCTCGTGTTTCTTTAGCTGTCCAAGTGTTTACAAGCATCATGATCTAACCGATTGAGCTGGCTAATGACAGAATGGTGGTGGTGGTAGTTTAACCTCTATCTCGGTAGTAACTCACCTTGAATATACAAGAGCATAGTTCAGCCACCGCGTCGTTCCTGGGCAGTCTGTCAAGCAGTTTACAAGTAGGCTTACTAATAGCTTTCACAATGAACTGTTAACTTCTGTACATGTCAGTGCACAGGCACAGTGTGAAAAACCGAATAAATGAGCACATGATCTACCAAAACGAAAGTTTCAACATCCGAGAATCGAACCCGAGGCACCGAATTCTTAGTCCGAGGCTGCACCTGTTTAAAAACCCCATATGTTATCTTAACGGTGTCCATCTGGGCACCATGAGACCATGCATGCAACAAGCTTGCGATGTACCTCATGCCGCAAGAAGATAACTCCGAACAAAATCTTGACACCGAAAGATCGCTGACCGGAGACCTTTTAAATTTAACAATTTCAGTCCGTTCAGAAGCCGGTATCCCATCAGTGTAATGTGACGCAGGTTTTAGTCAGTTTCTTTAACGACGGTGGTGATAGTCAGCCGTACTGTCGTATTGTCACCATCGTACTGTCGCCTTCCTGTTAGGCATGCGCATAATTAGCATTAGCATTAAACATATAAAGGCCTGAACAGACGGTAGGATTTTGAAGTACAACACCAATTAAAACTAAGATGTACAGGCAAATCTTAATGTGTGAAGGCTACTATTTCTTGAAAGTCTACTGTAGATGTAAGGGATAGGACATGTTCTATTTTGAAAATCTTGTCGTACAGATTTCTACAGACCTCCCACAATGACAAGTAACAGATAACCAAATTACCTCCTGATAATGGGTGTAATGAATGAAATTCCAGAACAATTAGGACTAAAAGGTAAACATAGAAGTAAGATGGGGTAAAAATGATGTTGAAAAACTCTTCAGGAGACCCAAAGTGGTGTAATGTTCGAATCCCAAATTATTCCGAAAATGATTATGTCACGGTATTGAACTGTTCTCTAATAAGGGAAGGGGAGGTAGTTTGTAGGCGGCCGGATAGCTTAGTCAGTAGAGCCGCAGTACGATATTCCGAGGGTCTCAGGTTTGAGTCTCGGTCAGGCTTCACATTAAAAAAAAAATTTTTTTAATGGAGGTGTTTCAATCATTACTCATGGCGAAAAAAGTATTTAGTGAGTTAAGTACGTAAAGGATCAATGTAAACGGATCCTTTTTAGGGAAACCTCAGACGATTCCTACAGTGTAGAATAACCGTCTGAATGCAAGTGTTACTAACGCACCAGTATAAATTCCTAAACCTGGTAGTTCTGTCGCATTGCCAATACGTTACTTTCGAGTATTTTAAATGCTTCTAAGTTCTTTCATGGAGTCGCATTAAGTGCCCCTCCAAAATGAACACAGAAGTTTGTCTTTTTATGTCCGAAGGTACATAATATAGACAATAGTGTACGCGTCTGTTTTACAATTTCAGTGTTCTTATTGAGTCTTTAAACTAATTTTCATTTACATGTATGTTCAATACAACCCCTGTCACACTGGGCTGCGAATGTAAGCGACAAACTTGCGAACGGCATTCGTGAGATAGTTTCAAAAATGTCTCGAAATCTCTTAGTTTCGTCGCACGAGTCGCATGCATTCGTTTTCTTGTTACTTGTATTTCCAACATGTTGAAAAAATTCGTGCGAGTTAATTTCTGACAATGTATTCACAAAATCATCACATGGATCGCAAACCCATCTCAAACCGTTCTCTTTGTGGTTTCCACGAATTAAGCCAGCAGATAATATAAAGTTCGGCATTTTAAGGCCCTTAAGAATGCCTAAAAACGAAGTTAAGTAAAGTCCTGTTCCATATCAACCAAGTTCCTAGAAAAATTGCCAACCTAAAACCAATAAAAGAAATACGGTCTTTTTTCTTTGCAACACAATACGATATATAATCTTTAGAATGGATTTAGCTCAATACAGGTTTGGAGCAGTACCTCTAGACGCTTGCAGAAATCATGATCAAAAAATAGACAAATATCGTGTGTTTTTTTCGCCGATTTTTACATTTTTCATTCATTATCATACATTTACGCAACGGAATGAACTTCATCTTTTCACACCGATTTATGTATGATAATGCATGAAAAATGTAAAAATCAGCGAAAAAAACGATATTTGTCTATTTTGTGATCATGATTTCTGCAAGCGTCTAGAGGTACTGCTCCAATCCTGTATTGAGTTAAATCCGTTCTCAAATATGCCGCAAGAATATCGCACGATTATCACACGAGACATTTTTGTTCCCTGCGGTCTGGAGACCGCAGGGTATTGGTACGCGTTTAACTTTTGAGGCATGGAGAGGCACGTGACCTGTTTTCGGTACATGGAGGAGCACGTGATCTGTAAACCTTACATGATTGGTTAATTGGCCCTTTCGAAAACCTGGCTATTTACCGACCGTTTGCCGGTACGTGACGGATTTACCTCTGGGAATTAGGCAGAATTACATCTAATAAGAACCAAAAAACTATTACGTGATATTTCTAATTTTCTATAAATATTTTACCGTTTAAGGTTGAAAAACTTTAATGATGTGTTTGAAAATTATCAATGTTTCTTTAATATGTATCTCAAATTTTACAGACAATACGGTCACCCGTGAGTTTCCAAAGACCTTCTTCTATATTGATCGACTATATGTTGTCCCCCCTACCCAAACAATGTTGAAAATAGTTAAATGAAATATCTTATATCATTAAAAATGTTCCCCGCAGGAAACCATTTTACTTGTCATCTGTTTCGCATGTTTGCGAACTTTTTGTACTGGCGAAATACGCGGGAAAATTTATGCGAAAATCGTACGACAGTTATAAAATGCAATAGAGGGTTAAGAAAAGTCAGATAAAAATAAAAGCAAACTCGAATTTCAGCAGTCAGACATCATCTGAGATGGATCAACCATTGGATGAGAACCCTAATTAGTTTGCAGACGACAATGCCATACTGAAGGATGCAGGGTGTCTCATTGCTGCTACTGCGGTCCAAAAAACCACGACAAAAGCCAGAGACCAAAGAAATGAAGATCAAGAAATGGAGTAGTGAATGGGTGGGTGAGAGAATGACTTTTAATGAGACCTAAGTATGGGGTGTACGAGAAGCTCATGAAGCATCTTAGAGAAAGTGATGAAAATACTTTCAAGAACTTTGTTACAGTTGACCTGGAGTCAGATAATGGTAGAGAATTTAGGCCCAATACATTAAAAGATATAAAAGAGAGAAACAAATTTCAACTGTCCTCTCAAATGAAGCTTGCCATCACGCTCAGGTACCTTACCACTGGGGATTTGCACATGTCATGTGGGTTGAGAGTGGCCCACAAAACCGTCGCCAAAGTTGTGCGAGAGATATGTCAGGTCATATATGAGCACTACCAGGAGGAGCATTCAAATTTCCAACAACAGAAGAGGATGAAGGGTTTATCAAGGCAATGGAACTTCCATCGCTGCAAACATGTAAAGATACAAGCTCGGTCTAGGTCAGAGAGCGTCTACTTCGACTACAAAGAGACTTTATAGACTCAAACTGCAAGATTACATAATGTTAATGTTGACATATATGGTACTTGGTGCTGGAGTGCTTTGTGAGTTTGACTCCATTATTTCTGTGTGGGGCCTTGGTGCAAGTAGAGTGTTTCCTTTACATCGGCGTGGCACATTGAAAATACTGTTGCTAGGACAGATATCAGTTTAAGATTTTAAAAGCGCGAGTAATAGTTTGTGTTTAAAGGGGGTCCATCCGCTCGCTTAGCTTTCGTTGTCGGGTACACAACCCGGTCACCAGTCATTCCCTCAAGGGCTTTTTTACATCTACTTAATTGTATGTTGCGCACACCATTAACATGTTTATTTTTTTAGAAAAATATCATAATACGCTAGGCTAATTTCCTATAAGTCATCAAGCACAATTTATGATTTTTAGCTATTATTATTCATGTAGGATGTAAGTGCATCAATGTATGAATAGTTATCATATTCCGTCATTCTCTGGGTCATGTAACAATCAATCAATGACCATGCGCATTAAATGTTATTATAATACATGTAATATATTCGTCAACAAGCAAGCAAACAAACAAACAAAGTTTAAACATTTACACTATCTTACGAAAGACCGATATGACCATTTCAGCTTCATGAATTCTCGATTTCATCGTCATGAATCACAATTTTAACTTCGTGAATTCCCGTTTTCAACATACGGAATTCACGAATTCACGATTTCAGCTTTATGAATTCACGATTTCAACTTCACGAATTCATGAAGTGAAATCATGAATTAATTCATGAAGTTGAAATCGTGAATTCACGAAGTTGAAATCGTCAATTCATGAAGTTGAAATCGGGAATTCATGGAGATTAAATCGGGTATTCAAGAAGTTAAAAATTCCCCACCGTGTTTCGTACTATCTGCAGTACAGTACATTTTCTGTACTTTCTGAACATAATACAATTCGAAACAAGAATTTATAAATATAAACAAAATTACAGGAAGTAGATTAAACTAATAAAAGGAATGCTTGGTTTATATACATTCATCTGTGAAAATCTTTACTTAAGTACAGATACGATCTCATAACGTGACAAAGAACTTTTCTGAACAAATTTTACCGGAAGCGCACAAGTTCTACCGGAAGTGACATTTCCTCTTGGTGTGTCACAGTCATACAACTTTAGTAATGAAATCATTGTATATGTATATAAACTATGTTTACATATTTCTACTTTAGGTTCGTAATATATTTTGATGGCAATTAAATTAATGTGAAAAGTTTTATGCATGTACTTTTAAAATTTCAAAGCGGCGAAAAAGATTCACTAATTGGGAACGCAATTTAAAGTTGAATTTAGAATGGATGTGACAATCACGGATGACAACAGCTATTTTCAAATGAATATCTAAGAAATTATAAAGGAGAAAAGTTGTTGATATTCCTTTGTCTCGAACAGTTTTATGATTAATGGTTCAGTAACATTATAGAAAAAGTGAACATTTTAAACTACGAGTGAGAAATGTATGGAACGGACAAAAGCATTGAAAATGTAATTCTAAGTTGATAGATATTGAGACAAGGTTAATATTTTTAGTGATGTTCGCTTTGAAAATGTGTGTGCTCTTTAGCGTCTCATAAATAAGTAAACGGTAAAAGAAACGTCTTGAATTTGGAAATTCGGCACAAACAAACGGGGATATAAATATATATGAAGACTGAATTACCGGAAGAAGGGTCCGGGGAGGACATATTAAATGTAGCCATGACGACCGATGAAACATTATCGACAATCGCAACGTCAGAAATTTCATCATCGACAACTACAGTAACGGCGACTGTTCAAGCTACAGACGTGGGCAAAGATGATGATTATGGTGATGATGATTTTATATATTTTGTAATGGCTATTGTCGCTGGCACTGTGGCTTTAATAATAGCTATCATAATCATATGCTTCATCGTAAAATCTCGACGCAGACGACAACAGAATATGTAAGTTTATACATGTATTTCATTTTTGCATCCTTTCATTCCTTTTACCCTGGATTTGCCTTGTATTGAATTCCAATTTGTTGCGATGCGTGATATATGTTTGGTTCTGGGCGATATACAGATATAACTATATACTAACATTTTAATTATCAAGTCAACATGGTTAGTTTCGAGCGATAAAGAACTAAAATGGATTCTAATGCTTCATATTTCGGGGCGACAAATAATGGAAGTAGATTTTAATCTAGTAATATAGAATTATATTTGATTTTAAGCGATAAAGAACTAGTTGTCCGGAGATTAAAAATGTAATAGATTTTAGGCCACATGTATGGTTCAGGATAATTCATTTAAGAGCATGTATGTGTGTAACACCGCACTTTGGGGTCCAACGCACTTTGGGGTCCGACCCCAAAGTGCGTTACACTTCGCACCGCACTTTGGGGTCCAACGCACTTTGGGGTCAAAATCGAGAAGTTGACCCCAAAGTGCGTACTTATGCTACATATCAACGCACTTTGGGTTCAAAAATTTTGAAGGTGTCATCTGAGTTCTGCTTTAATACTGAGTTTTAACTTATTTTCGATCTGTGACATTGAAATATTTGAGGTGGAGTTCAAGATGGCGGTTTGATGATTAAGTGATAAAAGTTACTTGAAATATCTAAAATTATGTCCATATAACAAAGTATTCTAGTACATAAATTGTTAATGTATCCTAAAAGTAAAAGATGCTGCGAAAAAATATCATGTTCTGTCAGTCATTTACTTGATAACTTTTTGTGCCATATAAAGCCCCATTTTAAATATGATGGGGATGAAATAAAATGCAGTTAATATTTTTCCTAAAAAACTATGAAATACTCGATTGAATTATTCAGTTTCTAGATCAGACTATAAATAGTGATTTTTACAAATACATTATTAAGTTTATCAACACACTTAAGTTTTTTGTAAGCTCCGTAACAACCGTTCGCCAGAGGCTTTTTAATGGGAAATCTTACATACTTCTTTAGAAAGGGCAAACATGAATTTTTAATGTTTAAATTATAGTACTATCAGAAAAATGTAAGATACATGTTACCTGAATAAAGTAGCGATAAATGTGAAAAAAATTGTCATAAAAGTAGCAAAATGTAAATAATGTAGTATTTGACTCCCATATAAAATACTGATTCACTATAACAGTACTCATTGCCAAAAAGCAACAGATGAAATAAAATGGTTAAGATAATTGGCCAATGAGTAACTTTTTGGATACTATTGCAGTACACCAAAATTTTAAAAAAAGCTTAAGAAATACAAATGAAAGCACAATGGGCCTTTAAAACGTTATTTTATAATATCGGGTGGATCGAGACCCCACCATCCCGTCTGGACCCCCCAGTGAGAACTTTACATTATTGTATTTTCTGATCACAATGCTGACATTCAATCTCTGGCATAGCGCTTCACGACAAACCTTACAACAAGTATTTCTCAAAACAGCTTAAAATTAGCGATGTAAAAGAAAGAAATATTTTTATTTTGTTACAAGTATCCAACAAATTACAACGCATTCAAAGTTTAAAAGTAGTGTTGGCTTATAGAATTGTCAATAAATGCACAATCACAAATTACGCGGATGAATATCATTTTAATCAATGAAAATGTTTTTAGCGGTGTCAATTACCGAATACTTCAGATAAATCTGACTGTCGAGTAGCGGAATATATACATGTCAGACTGTTTTGGCGAGAAGATTTTTGCTAAATTATTTACATCAGTGTTAAACAACAGGTTTATCGTGAACAAAATACCTCGAAATTAATAAGGATTACAAACCCTAAAATTCTATAGAATTATTTGAGTTTATTCAGTTTTCTTCGTATAACTTCCCCGTGGTGCAGGGGTAACGTGCTCGTCCAAGGTGCGAGAGGTCTGGGGTTCAAATCCCAGTCGAGACAACTATTTTTTAAGTGTCTTTTTTAAGCCACGATATGCAAGGAAAAGTGTGGCTGTCATAAAAATGAACATAAATGATTTTTGATGCAACTCTGATCATGCAAAATTCCGTATGTATCAAACTTAAACTGTTACAGTAAAAATCTAAACGCAGTCGCTGCATCTCGGAATTATAGTATATAAAAATAAACTTATACAGGAAAATAGATACAGATATACAGTACGATTTAGTTGCAAAGATCAGAAAATACCACAGAGCTTGCAGCCCTTTGTTTATGAATTGTGATTACTTAAATAGTTTATGATATTTTTGTGTACTGCCTGTACGGACTACTACTTAAGGCCGGATCTACACCTAGTCAAGTTTCTTAAATGTCACATTTAGATAAGCTAAATAAATGACCATTTCAACATATAATCAGGCACAATTTTTACTGAAATGTCTTATTAAGATTTCCCAGAATTTATACCTTTGTCTATGCTAAGACTATTATATTTCTATAAAATGTATAAATAAAGATAAACGAGAAAATGATGCAATTAGCTAAAAACAATGGAGTTAATGAAAGGTGTACATTCTTTTGAAATAAATCGAAAATGTGAGAAAAAAATATATTTTGAGCTTATTAATTGATACAAATTCTTTATTTGATGAAAGTTCTTCACTCATTTAAAATCCCTCTTGATTCTACTATAATTCAGGACACATGTTTTGCCTCTATTCAATACCTTGATTTTTGTTTACCATTGGCTTTGACTACAATATATTATTTGAAACATCATGAGAATTCATTTTATTGATTGAATTTTTATGACCCCAAAGTTCGGTCGCTTGTCTGATGTTAAAAAATGCATATGTACCTGTATAACGCACTTTGGGGTCAAAATTGGGGTCGGACCCCAAAGTGCGTTTGACCCCAAAGTGCGGTGTTCAGCGGATTCCAATGCCACATAATTAGTTCCTGCTCGATTTAATTGTATAATGGATTTAAGACCGTAAATTTCGGGGCGATAAAGTTTTTATGAATTATAAGCATACATGATAGTTTCGGGATGATATAAACATACAGTTGATTTTTATGTCACGTGATGAGTTTGAGGCGATATGAATCTTTAATGAATTTAAGGCAAGTGATATTATAAGCTTGTTATGGATTGTAAGACCACATGAAGAGTTCAAGGCAGTGTATAATTACTATGAACTCGGGAGCATTTAGAATAATAATGGGTCCGGAAAAAATGGTTAGATTAATTACCTTATCAAATATAAGAATTAAGATTTTAGTCTTAGTAAATTATGCAAAAGAGTTATATCTTTCAATCACTAATGGTGAAAATATTATATAACTTCTTAAGCAATCATATTAATGAAGAGCATCACCGTGTCTATAAGTGAATTAAGTTTATTTCCTGTTTCTGAAAATGTGTAATTTCATAAATTAATACAAAAATGTTTTAGATTAACATGCATGTCATGTTTTTTTGTTTATTATTATCATTTTTTATTTCTTAACAAAAATGAGTAAAATTTATTTATGCGCCTAGATGACCTGATTCGGATACGGATTTGCATTGATTGGTAGCAAGTGAAACCGGAAGTTGATTGTTGAAAAGAGGGAAGTGTTGTCTATCCGGTCAATGTTCTACATAAGTACATGTACACTCGGAGAGGCGAATTATGCATTATATTATAGACGGATTAGATTTATATATAAAATTAAATACTGTAAACATAATTCTGAAATAACTGTTTAGTTTAAGCTGTATACACTATTTTTTTTAAGTCCGTTGATCCAGGAATCGACCATTATCGTACAGTATAACGTATTGACGACACTGACGTTGTTTATAACGTACATAATTGGAATCTGAAAATTTCTAAACCGTTCCTGCAATACATACTTACACAAATATCATTTATGTTTATCACTGGTCATTCAATGAAACGAAGATGAAACAGTCCCTCCTTTTAGAATAAGTATTTTGTAACATTTTTAACTTTAAAGTCGATAGCTATAAGCCATGTATTGTTTTGCTTAAGAAAGCCCCTTGTGTTGGAAGGGTTGTCTTTACGGAATTGCAGCCACCGTTTAACCCTGCATGATCTTAAAAGGCGATTAAATGAGTTCGAATTACTGTAGTCTTTGCATATCATTGCTTCTGCAGATATAGTGGTTTTGACCCCTGTTTTTTCTTTGAATTTGGATTACCAGAGGTAAGCCAAAATCATCTAACGATCTGATAAAATAAAACATGCTTAAGGATAAATCTGAGCTGTGTAAGGTGTTAAGGAAATTAAATATGTTTATTTCAGACGAATATACAGGGAACATCAGGAAAGACCTCATTCAATTAGTTCAGATTTGATAGACAGAGAAGATCATATACAGAGAGTTGTAAACGGGGTAATTACTTTATAATAGAACTCTTTATCTAGATAATACCTATCATCATTTTCTCGAGTAAAATATATAGGATGTGAAATATCACTAAAATTATTATCTAAAATGTGACATTCTAGAGTCATCGAAAATATGATTTTCAAAACGAACAGTTTTATTGAACGTATAAATTTATGCTTTGGACATGACGTGTTTCCAAAAAATATTATTATCGTCGTTGTTGTTGTTGTTGTTATGGGCAAATGTTAGAAAGAAATCAACATGGAATATTGTACACATGTTACTAACCTTATTTGACTATTTACTATTTCCAAATTAATTAAGTGATAATTGATAAGTATATATAAAACAGCAAGAGCACCGCATTGGTTGTTAACGTTCGTCAATATATTTAAGCAATCAATATCAATAATTATTTTTATTTATTACTTAATTCTTTTTTTTAATAGACCGTGAAATTGTCTATAGGACAATTGTTAAATGTCTCTTTAACCGGTCTGTGTAGTACAGTTAGGGTTTTAAACAACTGGTCATTTATTTGTGTTTTGGGTAAGTTTTGCGCTAGTCTCATACTCTCCGAACAAAACTGCCCTTACTCCGACCGTTTAGGAATAGAGAAAAATAATGATAAAAGTAGTTGATTGAGTTTTATATAGCTTTTCTGTTATTGCTTTTCTTTGAGGCTATTTAATTTGGTTTTATTTCTCAAGGTACATAACACTCTGTACCACGAGAGCGATTCGATACTTCCAATTGCTGTATATGGTAGCCAGGCAGCACCAGAACGTTCGAGTAATCAACACAGTTCCGTTCATTTATCTGAAAACAGTGTGTCTTTCACAAATCAAAGGGATAGTAAAAACAGCAAAACAGATGCAAATTCTCACAAAAATAATTCCCAGCAGCGAACTGATTCATTGGCATCCTCGTCATCGAAAAAGGAAACACCTACTTCCCCAGTGACTGTCATTGTTTATGAAAACACAAAGGCGTCAAATAATATGTTTTTAAAAGCAAGCGACAAGCCAAAACAATTGAGTATGCCAAATTTAAATGATAGTTCCAAGTTTTCTCTGGGAAAACGTCAAAATTCGCAAAAACAAACTAAGTCAGTGCGTGTTGACAGTGATTATGAAACGGCGTTTCCAATTTTCAATAAAATATCTGGACATGAAGCTAGCAATGTCGTTGATAAAGATGGCAGCATGAAAAGAAACGTGAATCCAACAGAAAAACAGGATACAGAAACTTTACATATGGTTAAACATGTGAATGGTGGAGAAACGCTTGAAAGAAGTGAAAGTACACGATCATACACTGAAGTGTCTGATTCAGAAAAAAAGAAGTCCGAAGTGAAACCAAAACCAAAAGTCAGACGACATATTAATAAGGTGCACACAGAAATGGGTAATGAACAAGATCCGAAACAATACAAACATTTCTCAGCAAAAATGAAAAGGGACACATTCAAACAAGCAAACTTGCTGAATACTGTCCCACCTCCGTGCAATAAAAACACATATGTAAATGTACCAGATACTTCAAATGATTCCACTTCAAACAAATCTCTTCAGGAAGAATCAATGAAGCATTCCGATAGTTTTAAGAAAACTAACAATTCCGTTTCTAGAGAAAATGAAAATTTAGAGTGCGGAGCGAACGATTACGTGAATGTTCCTGAAAAGAAATGTATCAACTCTGCATTTAAGAAAAGTTTGAATGGTGAAACAGCTGAATCCTTGGATATACCAGGTACTGCTAACGTCACTCCAGTTGAAATATTAGACGACGAATCATATCAATATGAAAATGTTCCAGATAAGAAATCGACTATCTCTGAATCAGATAAACCAAACAGCGGAAAGTCAAATGAATGTATAAATGAATTAGAAAATAAATCAACTATTTCAAAACCGGAGAAAACAAATTGCAACGAATCAAAAGATTATGTAAATATGCCTAATAAGAAATCAATTACTTCTGTGACAAAGAGTAATACTTCAGGTAAAACACATGAAAGGTTTTCTAAAAATAAAGTTGTGAATAAAGAAGTAAATGAGTATGTAAATATACCTGACAACATATCAATAAATGTTGTTGCGGAAGATTCGTGGAGAAATTCGTGTGATTACGAAGATCCGGGGTGTTTTATGAATCTTAAAAAAGACACATCGCCAAAGGACGAGAAAGCATTGACTGAAAAACACGATCATACAATAAAACAAAAATCAAGATATCCTAAAAATGTACCAAATTTGAAAATTCAAGTACCTAATTCTAAGACAGACAAGTCATATCAGGATAAAACAGAGACACGGAGAGGTTTTAGAGGTTTGGACACGGTAAGATTTACAGCAAACGCTAGTGTTACTTCACGGGGAAGGTCAATCTCTGAAGCAACAACAGATAATAAATTAGACTATGAGAATGAAAATGCAATGATCGAATTAAAATTGTCGAAGAAAAGACTTCTGCGACGTGGTTTGAGCACATCCTCATTAGAAACTAGCGGGAGACTTGTTGATTGGAGAGCTGAAAAGGTGAAAACAAAACCGCTAGCTCCGTCTCGTGATGGCAATGTTTCTGATGACGAAACGTATCTAGAAATGAACAATGTTCAAAAAGACGAAGATCTTTACTTGCAAATGAATTCACCTAAGGATAGCATTTATGTGCGTATGACTAGCCCTGAGGAGGATGAAGAATACATGCCAATGGCAAGCATGAAGTCCAATCATCGCAATACGTTACAACCGGTTAAAAACGAAGACATTGGTTTTGCGGTTCGAACTTGTCCGAAACCGTGTGGTGGCGCTCGAAGCGGCGTTTATGACAATTTTTCTGAGCAGCCGACAAATTATGCAAATTTCTTCAGATCGAAAAGCACGAATAACGTCAATGAGTATTCGTATGCTGATACCAAGCCTGTCGTAAAATTTAATTAGGGTTATTTAAGTGGCAATGTCCCGTGTCTGTTCCGAGTGCTGAACTTATAACAACAGAACTAACTTTCAAATATTTTTAATGTTTAATATATAAAAAGACTTTTAAAATATGTAATACTGTTCTCTTCACGCATAATCACAGTGTCATTTGATTGAACAAATATATAAAATATGTATGTGTATGAATTATTGTATATATGTGTAATATATTTATGTGTGTACAAGTTATTGTACATATAAATGTATGAATAAGTTACTTATTAAAATGTACTGAATACTATGTATTTCCAAAATGCATATAGATTTCTATTAATAAAAGTAAAATAAATAGTTAGGGCATTGGTTTGTAATGATAGCCATGTAGTACTCGGTGTTGTACCGAGTCTGAAAGGCCTCTAACATTGAATCATTTACCGGTCACGATTGATTCGATACGGAGATATTTGATTAATTGTGATGTGGAATTTATTCAGGTTACCCAACGAAAGTATGTTGTTCCATTTGATTGTCGAATCATGTGTGAAAATTGAATGATGTATAAAACAAATCTTAATTTGGAACTAATGTTTCATTAAGTTTTCTTCAAACGGAAATCAGGCAATTTCTTAGTGCGGCAGGCAAGTAAGGTTGTCCAGTAAAACAAGAGACTCTTCTTTAGACTGTTTGACTAGTTGACCAGTTCTGTTTAGTTTGAATAATTGTATATGTTATCCCAATATAAACGAATGATGGATATATTTAATATATTTCCTTATATAGCAATGTTAGTAATTATAAATTCCGGAAGACATTCAACAGACGTGTTTCACATTCAAATTTAAATGTTTGTATACAAGTCGTATACATTATTATCTTATTTTTTTTTGAGTTTGCTGCTATTCTGTTATTATATTATTACATGTATTACGGTTGTCAACGAATATTGCACGTCAAGATGGACCATTTTGACGGTAAAGTTCCCCATACAGTTATGATGAAGTACTAGAATGTCAATACTTATATTTTCGGCATATTTTTGTATTTTCCCAGTTAAAACACACAGGTAAAATCATTTTAACATAGTATATCATTGAAATCATCATCATAATCATCAGTACATTGTCATCGTCATTAGTCATAAGTACATCATCAACATAACAATCATGACAACAGTATTATCGTTATCATCAGTACACCATCATCATCATCATCATCATCATCATTATGAATAATAAAATCATTAAGATATCAGCATATCATTATCATTATAATCATTATCATCCCGAGTACATCATTATTATCAATATCAGTTCATTATCATCACAAGAACATCATTATCATCACCAGTACATCATTATCATCTCAAGTACATCATTATCATAACTTATACATCATTATCATCACCAGTACATCATTATCATCACCAGTACATCATTATCATCACAAGTACATCATTATCATCACAAGTACATCATTATCATCACCAGTACATCATTATCATCACCAGTACATCATACATCACCAGTACATCATTATCATCACCAGTACATCATTATCATCACAAGTACATCATTATCATCACCAGTACATCATTATTATCATCACAAGTTCATCATTATCATAACCAGTACATCATTATCAACACTAGTACATCATTGAAAATTAAAAAATAATTCAAAAATTTTCCCAGAATATCATACAGTAATCATTATATCCCCAGTTAATAATCATCCCAGTACATCTAATCACACCAGAAACATTCAAATCTTCACTTAAAAAAAAAAATTATTTAAACAAAAGTAACATCCCTTATTACATAGAAATAAAATAATCAAAAGTAATCTTTTATCAAAAGTACATAAAAATCTCCCCTACATCATTTTCTCCCCAGTACATTAATCATCCCCAAAGTTACATTAATATCACGGGGTAAATCTATCATCAATTTTCCAAATCAAGAATACATCATACAGAATTTCTCATACAATAAAAATATCCCCATTTTTAATCTCCCCGGGTTTGGGTTTTCCAAAGGGGATTTTTACAAAAAAAAAATTTTTATACATCATCATTATCATCCCAAAAATAAAAATTTTTCACCCCAAAAAGTTATTTATCTTTCACAAGTACATTTCAAAAATTAAAACTAAAAACATCATGGTTTTATTTTTTTCCCAACCAAAAGTACTCATTATCATCAAAATTAAATCATTTCTACCAGTCCCCTTTTTATATCAGACATTATTATCATCCCAGTCTCTTTTATAAACAAAACATTAATTTTCACCAGTAACCCCCTTTCAAATTAAAATTTTTCGTTCATTATCATAAAATTAAACTATTATCATAAAATCTTTCATTATCAAAATCGCTTTTCTTAAATTAAAATTTCCCAGTACATCATTTTCTTTAAAGTATTAATTACATTTTGGGGGGGGGGTTTTTATTAGTCATATTAGTCAAAGGGGTAATCTTTGGGTAAGTAATATTTATTTTAAATTAATATTTATACAATAATATTATCCCCGGGGGGGGGGGGGTTACTCTTTTCATCCATTTACATTTATTATCCCGGGGCAAAAATTTATATAAAGGGGGAAATTTTATTAAGGTTTTATCGTCCAAGGGGTCTTTTTTCCCAAGTTCTTACATTAGGAAATACTTAATAAAAAAATTACAAAAGTACCTTTCCCATCACAAAAATTTAACTCCCTACATTCATTTGGGGGGTTTAAGAATATTTCTCAAATATCATTTTTCGCAAAGTTAATTTTATTAAGACATTTTCCATAAAACCTAAATTTTAATTAATACTCATTATTTTTTCATACTCAAAAAAAAGTAAAAAATTTAAACAAAAATAAAAATTTACAAACCCAATGATTAAATCTTTTAAATTTAAAAACATAATCTTTTACAAAAAATTTTTTTTAAAAAGGGCCCCCATTATCATCCCCATAAAAATTTTCCCCAAAAACATATTTTATGGGGGGAAAAAACCTTTAAAATTCCTTTAAAAATTTCTCATTTCATACTTAACTTTTAAATACCCCAAAAAATTATTCCACCCGTAATATTTCATATTACTTTTTTAAATAAAGTTTTATTTTTATTCGGGGGGTAAATTATTTTAAAACCCCAGTACACATATTAAACCCGGGGTAAAAATTTTAAATGGGGGACCCCTTTTTTAAATTAATTTTTCACCAAACCTTAATCAAAAGGGTTATTTTAACTCCTCAAAATTTACCCCCTTTCATATTTTCCAGTAAAAATTTAAAGTATTTTACGGGGGGGGGGGGGGCTTTTTTTCCCCGTTATTCTTCAACAATTTTTAAAAATTCATAAGGGGGGCAAATATAATCGCGCCCAATCTTTTCTAAAAGTACCCCATTTTCACCGAAAATTTACAAAAATTTACATTTTTGTTTTATTTTTTCCCTTTTTTCCCCCCGTACATTTTCTCCACAAAGTACATCCTTTTCCCCCTCAATTTAACATCTAGTAATATTTATCCCAAGGGGTACAGAATCTAACCAAAAAGTAATCTTTCCACAGAACTTATTTCACATTTATTTTATAATTTTAACATTACTTAAAATAACAAAATTAAAAAAATTTTTTTCCGTTCTTTGTTTTTTAAAGATGGGTTATAAAAAGGAGTTTGGTTGGTTGATTTAAAATTGATTTTTAGGGGCGGGGGGGTGGGAGGGGGAGTGTGGGGGTAAATTTGGGGTTTTTGGGTTAGTGGTGGGGTCTTGTTTTCGGGGCGCAAAAAAAAAGCTAAAAAAAAAAGGGCAAAAAGCAGCCCCCCTCACCAAAAATTGAAAAGAAAAATTTAGGGTAATGTTTTGGGTTTCAAAAATGATTTGACTTATAAAAAGTTTTGTTGGGGTTTTGTTTTTTTTTAATTAATTTTATACCAAATTTTTTTTTTTAATTTTATTCTATAAGGGGGAAAAATTTAAAAAGGGGCAAAAATTTGAACAATGAGGGGAAAATCATTTTTCAAAATTAAAAAAATTTAAAAAACCCTTACAATTTGCCCTACTAAAAATGCCTCCTTATAATTTTAGTTTAATAAAGGGAAAAAACTTACAAAAAGGTTTTTTGGAATTTGCTCTTGTTCTTTTGTTGGTTACTTGTAACACCCCCTAAAAATAATAGGTAATTTTTTAGAAAATTAAATTTTAACTTTCAAAAAATACCCTCTAATTCCTGTAAAAATGCCCCAAAAAAACTTTTTTACCCGGCCCTTTTAAAACATGCAAAATTAAAATAGAATTATTTAATGCGGAAAAGTGGTTTCTCGGGGGAAAAAGAGGGGAAGTAGGGTGTGGTATGGGCTTTGAAACTAGAACTTTTATTAAATTTTGGTATAACCAAAAATATCTCACTGTATATCATACGTTATTTTGGTATCATTTAAATTTCAGAAAAATATCGATATTGTAAGATATCATTTTATACTAATAATATACGGGTATCTTTGGTTGGTTTTGTTTTTTGTTGATTTCAACACTACTTCATGTATGTTGTAGTAGATGAAAAAATATCTAACCTCACCAAAAAAAAATGTTAACATTATGTGTGGTTTGTTATGGTAATCAGAATTAAAGCGGGAAAAATGGATTTCCGGGTGGTTTTTTTTTTATTGCAGGGAAAATTTCATATCTGGCACTTAAACCGCGAAAAACCCACCTTAAAAAAATTTCTTACGTGTAAAACACTAAACAAACACTTGGGAATCAAAGTACGGGGGACGCTTTAATCCTTTATCATAGATAACTTGAGATATGGTCTATTTTATTAAGTACGGGGGGTTTCCCCTTAGAAAAATTCAATCCCCTTTCAGCCCAAAGGGGAGACAACTTAATTATTTTTAGTTTTGTTAAAACTACATGTACTTTTCGGAAACAAATTTCAAGTGAAGTTTTTTTAATTGTTAAGTTTTTTTGAAACAAACCACTTAAATTGTAAAAAAAATTTGAAATTTTGGGTTAAAAAACATAAGGTTGTTTTTACTAGTGCCCCAATTGAGAAATACGTTCAAAAAATAAATTTTATTATTTTCATAAAATTTTAAAAATTCCGGGTTTAATTTAAACCTTATCGTAGTATGGGGGTATTTTTTTTTAAAAATGACCTTGAATTCTTTTTTTTTTTGGGGGTTAGGAAAATTTTAAAGGAGGCAAAAGGGCGGGATTTTGTCCCCCATAGTTAAAAAATTTAAATACCGCAGGCGATCTTAAAAATGTCTAGGGCCCCCACTGAAAGCCGGGTTTTTTGGGTTTTTGATGTTTGCAATTATACTGTCCTTATTTATTCTAATTTTAATTTTTATATTGAAA